GAGAGAGCGAGAGAGAGAGAGGGAGGGAGTGAGGGAGAAAGAAAGGGAGAGGGAGAAGGAGCAGGAGAAGGAGAAGGAAAAGAAAAAAGTCGGAAAAAAGCTCCAGGTGAATAGACCGCCGGCGACTAAGGCATAAGGTCCACAGGGGGGGAGAGAGAGAGAGAGAGAGGAAAAAAGAAGAATCAAGAAGAAGAAAAAGACGACAGGAAATAATAAAAAAGGGATTTAAGAAGAGGAAACAAGGGGAAAAAAAGGAACGAGGAGGAGTAACCAAGCGTAGAATAGCAACTCGAAATCACTCAGATTATTGTCTCCATACAACTTGATACAAGTACCAAGCTCACGCTTGAAAAAACAATCGATTATGTCACACACCGCTGTCAACCTTTCACGTGGTTCTGAAGATCGATAGAGGGAGTGGGAGAAGCGGGATGGGAAGAGGGCGGGGGGAAGGAGGGGGAGAGGAGGGAAAAAAGAAGATCCCCCTTCAGCTCTATCCTCTAGATCTAAAGCACTCCTGTATCCACACAGATCATCTCGCCGAACTGCGGGAAGGGCGTGGCAAATCCCTAAAGCGCTTTTCTGCCCCATGCCACGTGGGGCGTCGTCAGAAGGGGGGACATCTTCCATGATCTTTGGAAGGCGAGGGGGTTGAGGGAGGACAAGGGGGGATGTTGCGAAACAAGGATGATGGAGGGGCTAGGTTTGTTGGGGGGAGAGGGGGGAAGAGGGTTCGTGTGGCAAGGGATAGGGAAGGGAGTGAATGAAGTAGAGAAAGGAGAGGAAGGAGAGGAAGGAAAGGAACGCCAAAAAGGTACATGATGAAACCTCCGCCACCCATCTATGCTCCATCGTCTCCGCTCCTCGCTATTTCCACTAGCTAATCTGCAAGTCCCTGCGTAGCGCCGAGCTAAAAGAAAAAGCAGCAGCAGCATGCAAGGAAGAGAGTTATGAAGTAGATGGTGCTTCCGATCAGCAGCGCAAAGCGCTTAGCGGAAACGCGAAGAAAAACTCCATCGGAGAGGCATGCAACAACAGTGCGCTAGCTATGGCGAGATTCAGAAGCAGAGCGAGGAGGAGGAGAAGCAAGAAGGCGGCGTTTCGCGCGCAGGGGGATGGGTGAGGCATAGCAGGTTTGGCGGGGCAGGTGGAGGCGGTCTGCATGTCGCTTGGCTGGGGTGTGCCTAGGCGCAGGGTCACGAAGGCAAAACCGGGAGGGTGCCACTCGTCGGGGACGTTACCACTTCCTCCAGCTCTTGTTGTTCCTCCTCCAAGTCCCAATCTGTGAAGAAGTCCACACCGCTCGCTACCACACCCGCCTTGCTCAGCGTAAAATCGGAACGCACCGTGCTCACACCCAACTTGCTCAACGTAAAACCGGAACGCACCGTGCTCTACTCGTTATTGGAATCAATTACCGCACGCTGGTCCGATGAATAGAACTCCCTGCGTTCTGTTCTGAAATAGCCGCGGTGCCCAGCTAGGAATAGCAACCTTACGATGGAAGCTACCGCTCTTATTCACACGTTTAATGCAGCAACCCTGCGGCTGTGAAAAGGACAACTAGAAAGCGGAAAAAAAAACAAAAAAGAAGGAAAAAAAGGGGGAGGCAAAAGGAGACGAGAAGAGACGAAAAAGGGGAAAAAAAACGAAAAAGGAAACTAAGATCAATGTAACAAGGATCTATTCGAGGTCATGTGCGTCCCACACCCGTGTACTAAACTGGCCTCCAATCCTTCGTCATAATCGGAGAGCGAGTTGCTCCCACAACCTGTATTTAGTTGGTTATATCGCATGAGGAGGGTCTTATTTGAGGCCTATAACGCATGCAGGTAGAACAGAGCTCCGAAATACCATAACCTGTACTAAAAAATGAAACAACACAAAGAACAAGAAAAAAGAAAAAGAAAAAAAGGAAAAAACTTTAAAAAAAAAAGGAAAAAGAAAGAAAAGAAAGAAAAGAAAGAAAAAAGAAGAAAGAAAAAAGAAAAAAGAAAAAGAAAAAGAGAAAGAGAAAAAAAGGAGAAACGAAGAAAGAAAAGTTAGCACACCCAATCACAATGCCATATACGGGGAGATTGACAAGAAGAGAAGAGGGGAGAGAGAGAGAGAGTGTGTGTGCGTCTGGTCTCGGAGTCCCTCAGCCTCGCGAGCTCGGATCTCCAGCTCATAGTCGCCCATTCTTTTCTCTCACTCGTATGCGTGTGTGTGTGTGTGTGTGTGTGTGTGTGTGTGTGAGAGAGAGAGAGAGAGAGAGAGAGAGAGAGAGAGGGTTGTGACTAACTTCTTTGTCAGAGTTTCACCGACCCATCAGGATGTATATACATAAGGGTTCAGCCTGCTGATGACTCGGTGAAACTCCGACGAAACAGTTTTTCACAGCCCCTTGTTTGTTATCCCGTTCTCCCTCGCTGCCTTCTGTTTACCGGGCACCTCTGTTTGACGATATATACGTTTATATATATATAAAAAGTGTATAATATATATATATATATATGTACGTATATACATATTGTCATTTATATATAAACACATATACATAGTGTAAAAAAAAATGTCTGAAAATAAATACACACTACGTAATATGAAAAACGATAACGGATAGTATGAAACAGGGAAAAAAAAAAAAAAAAAAAACGTCATGAAAGTTTTAAAAAAAAGCGAGACTGGGGAGATAATACCGGAAAAAAACAAATATTTTGCGTGCGTACTCATCGTGGCTCCTTGACGAAGAGCACGATGAGTACGCTAATATATATATTTCTTCCCGTATAATCTCCCCAGTGTCGCTTTGTTTTTGTGACTTTTCCTATACAGAACAATGTCCTCTATTTCTCACGATGACTCGGAGGACGTTGAAGGTAGTTTCTAACTTTCTTGTCTTCTTTTTTTTTGCTTTATCCCATTTATCTTCCCCTCCCCGATCGCTGACACCCCTCACCAATCAAGCAACGACTCAATGAAACCCTAAGTCAATCAACGAAAGAAGAAAAAGGAGTTTTTATCATCGTCATGGTGGGAAGAAAAGAAAAAAGAATAAACAAGCAAGAAAGCAAAAAAGAAAAGGGGGCAGAGAGAGAGAGCAGACGGTCGCACGTGTGCCAGGTGGCAAACATGCGCCTGAAGGGAGCTGGGTGAGGACAACGTGGCCAGAGGGGAGGCTGTGGGCAGACTGGGTGCGCGAAGTACGGTAGCGCAGGGTGGACGTGGAGAAACAAGGGTTGAAAGAGGAGTACAAGAACGAATAGGAGGAGGAGAAGAAGACGGAAAGGGAGGGGTAGGAGGACGACGGCAACAGAAAGGAGGTGGATAAGAAAGAAGAGGAGGGAAATAGGTGTGTGTGTGTGTGTGTGTGTGTGTGTGTGTGGTCATATTCGCTATACACTCTGAAAAAGCACGGTTGTGCCAAACTGTTTCGTCAGACTTTCACCGACTCATCAGGAGGTTGAACCCCCACAGTCTCTCTCTCTCTCTCTCTCTCTCTCTCTCTGAAGGGCAACAACGTTGACGCTCGGTGATGGAAGACGGGGCGGACGTGGTTGCACGTGGGGGAACTCGCTACCGCCACCCCGTGGCGGGAAACCGCCCTCTGCTTTGTTTTTGCTTTTTTTTCCTTTTTTCGTTTCGGGATTTTTCGTCAGTACAATTCATGAATTTTGTACATAAGCGCGGTGGGCAGGTCCAAAAGGCAGGCCTTCGATGTCCGCCATAAGCTACCGGCCCTGTCCCATATGGGCCCGCTAGGCCTTCACCGTTTCGGCTTGCGGAACCGGCCAAGAAGCCCAGGGGTCGCGGCGCGTTAACGGGAAAGCCCCGCGGCCCATGTATGGGCCAAGTACTGGTGGTTTAACAGTTTGGTGGCATGAGCTAGCTGAGATTCCATCCCCTTTTTTTTATAGCAGCCCGAGGTAGTGGTAGGGGTGCTGATAAGAACAGACACCGCTACCCCTCTCACTACATGTTTTATGCAGACATCTGAGTGTGGCACCTGTTGGAACAGTTACCCTAGTCCTATTATTGCTATCTCCCTTCAATCATGGTGTTATCAATCTGCAATTGAGACTTCTGGGGCTTTAGAGATTTTAGCGCAAACCCCAAGCTAGTTCTGCCTCTTCAGCCCTTCTTTTGGGCCTGCTCTCCTTGAAAGCTCTTAGCTATGGTAGGGTCTTTGTCATGTTGTTTGGCCGAAGAGGAGCGAGAGGAGGAGCGGGAGCCTGGAGAAGCGAGAGGAGCGGGAGAAGGAGTGGGAGAAGGAGTGGGAGAAGGAGCAGGAGAAGGAGGAGGAGCGGGAGGAGGAGCGGGAGAAGGGGTGGGAGGGGAAACAGGAAGGGGCAAAGGAGGCACAGGAGGAGGAGCGGGAGGAGGAGCGGGAGGAAGAGTGCGAGGAAGAGTGGGAGGAGGAGCGGGAGGAGGAGCAGGAGGGGAAACGGGGAGGGGGTTAACGAATGCACGGGAGGCGGGTAGGGAGATTTTTGTCATGTTGTTTGGCAGAGGAGGGGCGGAAGGAGGAGCGGAAGGAGGAGCGGAAGGAGGAGCGGGAGGAGCCAGAGGAGCGGGAGAAGGAGTGGGAGGAGAGAAAGAAGGAGGAGGAGCGAGAGGAGGAGCAGGAGGAGGAACTAGAGAAGAAGCGGGAGGGGAAACGGGAAGGGGTGGAGGAGGCGCGGGAGGAGGGTCGGCAGAAGGAGAGGGAGGAGGAGCAGGAGGAGGAGCAGGAGGGGAAATGGGGAGGAGGTTAGGAGCAGGAGAAGGAGCGGGAGGGGAAACGGGGAGGAAGGCTGGCGAGTCACGTTCACACTCTTTCTCCTCCTCTCCCCCTCTTCCACCGCCTTCTCTTTGCCCTCTTCTCTCCCCCCCCTCCTCTTCCCATCGGGTCCATTTGTTGTAATAAATTGTGACAACTTCTCAGAAAAAAAAAAAGAAGAAGAAAATTGTGCAAGACAGAAGATGAGCGGAGTGGAGCGCCGTTGTGAGGGATGCAGCTGAGTTGAATGACGCCATCACTAAATACGGGCCGCCTGTTGACTTGAGGGTCGCGCTACCCTAAGAAGAGTCAGGCGCCTGTGCAGCTAGGGTTTCAATTACCCTAAGCAGCCGCTGGCCAATCTGGGCAGCGATTCACTCAAAGAGAGTGACTCTGAATCTGCGCAAGTTTCTGCACACACAGGTTTTGTTTTCAGAGAATTCTGACAAGCCATTTACTTGAAAGGGTGACTGGACTCTTCGGTGGTAATTTCAGTTTGGGCGTTGACCTGCTGAAAGTCAGTGTGGCCCCGTGATTTGATTACTGGGCTGCGCTGCTATAATTGGTCAAGAGTTTGACCAGCGCTGCAACTCCAATCAAGAATTTCAAAATTCTTCGTTAGTTCATTCCAGATTCTTTCCTACTCTGACGTCAGGGTCTGTCAGGTGGTTGAGTCTGCAGATAGGTCGTCAGACTGCATAACTGTTTTATTCTTTCTTTTTTTTTCCCTTTTTTTTATGAGACAACTGCGCCTGTGACGCCTGCAGAGTTCCGAATTCACAGGAATAACAGCTGTCAGCGACTGCAATATGAATGCAGTGCAGTTCGAAACTGCAAATAAAACATGGGAGGTACCGGTCGTTTCCCCAGGGGTGTGGCCTAGGCATCTTGGCTGTGGCCCAGCCACGGGCGTGGCCTAGACATCTCGGCCGTGGCCCAGCCACAGGCATGGCCTAGACATCTCGGCCGTGGCCCAGCCATGGGTGTGGCCAAGACATCTCGGCCATGGCCCAGGCACGGGTGTGGCCTAGACACCTTGGCCGTGGCCTACTCATAGGCGCACGTGTGGGCATGGAAAAAAAAAAAAAAAAAAGACGAGTGGCCGCCTGATTTTGCCACTTCCGAACTTCCGACGGCTAGAAGTGCACAAAGCTGTAACAGTTCAGAATCTGTTTTTGCAGTTTCTAACTGCCCTCCCTCGGCCCAGACAAAACCGCGCAGTGCCCCGTTGGTTATTCCTTCCTGCGAATTCGGAACTGTGCACGGGTCACCTGCACAGTTATTTCTTTTCTTATATATTTAAAGCCCAGGCCCCAGGGTGTTGTAGAGGCCAAGGACCAGACCCACGGTCATCGCCGGCAGCGGCAGCAAATGGTTGTCCTGACAGTGTAGAGCACCTTCCCTACCCTTCTCCATGTTAATTCTCCCAGCTCACCCCCTACTTACCTCATTGTGACCAGCACTCGGGACCATCACCCTCCCAATATGGAGGGCAACTTGGACCAGACAGCAGTGACAAGCACCAAGGCTGGGCAGCCCCCCAGCCCCCCAGCTCCAGTGGAAGCAGAAGCGGAAGCGGACGAACCTTGCCGTAGGGAAACTTCAACATTGACGGTTTTATTCTATCCCCCTGTCTGAATTATTTCAGAAGCTGCCGTCATCTGTTTTCGACTCTGACTTGATTTCCCTCTGTCAAACCTGTGCTGTATGTTCCTGCTCTGAACCAAGGGCCGGTTTCGTCAGTCCGTGCGGTCGGGTCCCAGTCAGTCCTGTCCCAAATGAGGTCTATCAGTCACTGACAGTCCTTGGTCAGAAAATAGGTTGTCGGGTCTGGTCTGAGCCTGATTCGGAAACTGTCAGTCTGTCAGTGTCGCAGATGAACGTGGGCAGTCAGAAAATTGCCAGTTGGGTGTTTGATTAGAGCGGTCTGAAATGTAGGAAAGATGTGTAATTGAAATCTGTTCCTGTTTCCCCTAAAAGCTGATAATAAACAAATTGAGACAACTGCACCTGTGACCGCTGCACAGTTCAGAATTCGCAGAAATAACAGTCCACTGCAAGCTTGGGCGAAGACCAGTTCGAAACTGCAAGGTTCAATAATTTGCAAAAACGGGAGGTGGTGGTAGTGGTACCACTCTTTTTCCCGTGGCCTGGCCTGGGAGCAGTTACCGGTAGCAGGCCCTCCTGTTTTTGGCTCGTTTCCCCAGGGGTGTGGCCTAGGCATCTCGGCCGTGGCCCACCCACGGGTGCGGCCTAGACATCTCGGCCGTGGCCCAGCCACGGCCGTGGCCTGGACATCTCGGCCGTGGCCCAGCCATGTGAGTGGCCAAGACATCTCGGCCATGGCCGAGCCACGGGTGTAGCCTAGACAGCTTGGCAGTGGCATAAGCAGGCGCAGAAAAAAATAAAAAAATAAAAAAAAAATAAAGGCACACGAGTGGCCGCCTGATTTTGCCACTTCCAAACTTTCAACCAACGGCTAGAAGTGCACAAATCTGTAACAGTTCAGAATCTGTTTTTGCAATTTCTAACTGCCCTCCCTCGGCCGAGACAGGCACGAGCGAGCGGGAAAAGAAAGCGCAAGAGAGCGGAGAGAGAGTGAGCAGCTGAGGGAGAGTTTTTGGGTCATCCATCATCGACAACTAATAGGAGAGATCGGAGTTATGCTGCTGAGCGTTAGGTCGCGAGCGCACGGGGAGCGAACCGGCCGGCATTCCCGGCGGTCTTGTCACCCAACGCCTTGGTGGTCACGAGGAGGACTGACGGCGTTGACGCCATCGCTGTGAAAAAGTTAAGGTCAAACCACGTGCCTGGTTGAGGTTTGACGAGGGCGGAATGGACGGTGATACGGGCAAGACGGGAAAACCCTGTAGTCAGCGTGCGGATGGCGTCCTCGCGAATGGCGCTCTATCGAAAGAACAGTATGGCAGGGGGATGGAGATGACTTTGACAGGAAATCTACAACAAGCGGCGGCAAATTGGATCTATCAGTTGAAGGAGGGTCAGCGTCGGCTGAGGGAGATGGTAACCCTTGTGTCCTCAACAACCTGTGATTGGTCTGGAGTTGTAGGGGGGAAGACTTCAAGGACTGCATGGCTGGAGGATAAGCGGCAGAGAATGATGAATGTCCTTTGGGAACTTGAGGAGGGGCCTGATCCACAGCTGGAAGATCTCCTTGATTGGGAGCTCGCGGACTCCCTGATGGCGATTGCTCTATGATTTACAAGGAAGGGAGTGATCTGATCGATAATGGGCCAATATGCACATCCGGGGTGGTCTCTGCGAGTGCTGCCATGAGTGGTCCGCAACAATTTTCAATAGCATCTTCTACACCAACGACAACTCCAACAGCATCAACAGTGGGTACGGCAATGACATCTTATCCTACACCAATGATTCACACAACAACTTCAACAACAACGATAAGCTCTGCAACCATATCAACAGCGACGATGATGTCTTCCACCAACAATCTCCTCAACGACAACAACAACGCAGCTTCTCAAGACGACATCTGAAACCATATCAACAGAGACGATGACATCTTCAACACCAACAATCTTCTCAACGACAACAACAACGCTTCTCAGTGTCTCACGACGACATCTGAAACACAACTTCCAGCAATAAGCTCTTCAACTACATCTACATCAACAGCGCCAAGAGCGATGACATCTTCAACACCAACAATCTTTCCAATGACAACAACAGCGATTCTTACGAAAACATCTAAAATACAATTTCCAGCCATGACTGTCTTGCTCACTTCAATCGATACGATCGGCATGCAACCAATATCTTTCGATGGGTCTGCTACTAAGGTGAGGGCTATTCGGTTTCTTCCCGCCTTCTCTTTTTGGGGGACTCTGCTGGGATCGGATGCCAGCCTGCTGGGGTTGAAGGGTAACCGAGGGTTCTTGCACGGAAACGCTGCCATGCATGAGAAGTAAGAGAAGACGCTGATCTGGCGATGCGGTGAGGGGTGGCAGGACGATGACTCAAGGTTGTTCTCGTGGGATTCGGGAGGAAGAAGAGAGACTGTGGCGAGGGGGTTTGGGAGGCAGGGGTGATATCTTGGTTTGTTATTTTTCCCCCACCCTTCATGTGTGTTGATCTCCCTAGATTGGTGAATTTTTCCTCTCTCGTGGTGCTTGACTTCATTCCATCTCATGGGGCCTTAACTATTCGGTGTTTTCAATGAGGATTTGACTAGGACCGGGGATGGGTTCGATCTCTTTGCTCTGCTGTAACTCCCCCCTAGAATTTCGTTTGTAGGGTTTGATCATTAGTGTTTCACTATAGTAAAACAAATTTTGAATGTCTACGGGGCTGAGTTAATCCTTACTCCTCGGAGAAGCAATCAATGCTCAAACCTTGTTCTTAATGCAATAACCCATGCCATATGTCTCGTGGAATATCTGAGGGCCTACTTGGCCGCCCTCAGCCAGGCCAAAACTGGGGAAAAAGACCCACACGAGGATTCAGGGCCTGGATGTGTGACAATTGACTTTTGTCAACTGTCATAACACCAACAGTCAAAGTCCAAAGGTACCCAGCCCAGGCCGCCCGTCAAGCACACGCACTTGTTTGTATGCAGGTACCCAGACAACATTAGGTCCAAGGGGAAGTCTGCAACTGTATTCAATCAGGGCCCTCGAGTGTGAGACAATCAGGACGACTGAGGGAACAGGACTCGAGGACAGACAACCTCGTCAAATGCTACTTAAAGGCTGGCCTCGAGGTGGTCAACATTCAATCTTGCTATGCTGCTTGGACGCTGGCTTGATTTCGACCAGACGTTGGCGAGACGCTGGCTGGACGCCGACAATGTGGGCGACGACGACATCATGTTGGCGCTTACTGCATTGTGCGTCAGGTATGCTGATGTGACGCTGCCTCTACATTGCATGTTGATGTGGCACTGCCTTTGGACTACATTGTTGATGAGGCGCTTGCCACTAGTCTACATTGATGATGTGGCGCGTGCCACTGGTCTTCATTGATGATGTGGCGCTCGCCACCTGTCTCGACTATAGATGTGGCATTGTCCACGTTGTCTACATGAGGTGACTGGTTGCGAGGAGGAGGGAGATCGGGATTTGTGGATGATTGTGATCGGGTACTCACCTGAGGTTCAGGCCGTCACTGTAATCTATTGTGTCTTCATGGTCTTCATGAGATAAGCGTGCCACGTAGCATTA